CGATCTCACTCTCAGTAGGCTAGTTGCTTAACCATCCCAATTTTTCCCTTTCTTAAGGGGCTAAAAAGCGACAACTTTCGAACGTACAAACACATGTGGATACCGCTTCCGCTCCCCTACAACAGTCAAATGGCCGGCCGCAAGATGACATTCCTAGTCCTAGACGCCATTGTCTCGTTCTAAAAGGCGGTCTTCTCAAGCTTGCACTTTACTGACTCCATAAACCTATGAGCCTAAAACGTTTGCTAGACGCTGGCATCCAGCCAGCCTTGTCGTTCTCAGGATCCAAATGTACTCAAGAAAAGCTCGATAAGCCAGAGGCTCCGAGAAAGAGAACGTCATTCAGATGCATCAAAATAGCAGTCGCTAAACGTGTGGACCTTGACTCTGTCTATCTATTAAGGTAAGCGCTACCTATGCCGTTACACGATTAGAGGAAGCCCGGCACAACAGTAGCATACAAAATTTCGTCGTGACTTAACATTGTAGTTACACACATCTTAAATGCAGATCTTCATAATATATAGAGCTCAAGTAAGCTACCGCAGACTACTGTTTTTTGGATCATACGAAAACAAAAGTACTTAGGTTAAAGAATAAATCTGTTTATCTCACATTACGGCGATATCATATATACCTCGAACAATATACATATGAGCATTCTGATGGTCTAAAAAACAATACTTGACTAAAAATGAATTTTACAAACGAACATAGTTGACCTGCTTTAATTGTGAGAACCGCTGACCATTGTAGTTCACCATTTGTTCGCTAGATGTCGTTTCACGGCGCGGATCCCTTAGTAGTTCATATTGGCACACAATAGTACACAGCTGAATGCCGCATGATGAGGATTAAAATTGGCTTTGAATCGACCTTCAGCTCGATCGCAGTACAACTATAGCGCACTATTCCACCAGTATTTTTATTATGCAGAATGGCGGTACTAAGCACATGCATTTGTCCTAAGGATTCGCTCACCACTGTAACGATGGCTCTTATCAGTCGAAAAAATAAGTTTCGCCTTTTCCACCACTAGCACTAACTACTTATCAATGCCAAAAAATAGCATATAGCTGACGGCGATAAGACAAAACGGTGCTCAGTGATCGGTTTTAAAATCACCGAGTAGGAACGGGCAAAGGCGCTATGCCCCAAGCGGACTTTTTTGTTGATTAAAATCCTGCGAATGCGCGTGGAATAGGTTCGCCTAAGAATAGATCGCCTAGAATGAGATCATGGGATACATGTACTCAGTTTTCGCATTCTTAGTATTTGGGTTCTGTAACCCGTTACACATGAAATGAATGTTGTCGCCGACAGAGTTCTTAAACCTCTAAGCTCTGCGTCCATTTTTAGCGTCTTTTATAGCGTCCATGTGTTCTTACGCTTCAAATACCGATATTTGATCACTTTTTCGCTTGTCTGCAATACTGCAATCTTCGTTCTTGAAACATTCACGTTACCTTGTTACCTAACGTACCTCACCATTCGTTGATAACTTTCCGTAATTGTGGCCTTTGAAGAACAAAAGCTTAGCCACTGAGCATTGTTTCTCGAGACAGGAAAATGTCTTTTTTATTTTATAAAGTGTTTACCACTCGAGTTTCGCCTGCTAATGGCACGTAGTTTAAAAATTTTTCAATTTTAAAAACCGTCGGGGATATATATACATATATATATAGAGAGAGAGAGAGAAAGAGAAAACAGATGTATGCAAATATACACACCCCGCTGTAGCTTTCAGGCATGTGACCCATCGTCGTCATGACTTTGAGTAATCTGTACTTCCATCGTTTGCCTGATCCGCTTCTATGCAACTAATATATTAACCCCAAAAGCTTCGCGCATTTTGACTGAAATGCTATTATCTGACCTTGTGTTAGGGAGACTTTGGTACCATTTTACGCTGCTGCATTTGCCTTGCCTTGGGCAACCTGTCGGACCCGACCTGAATTGCCCAATATTTTTTGTCGCAAGGCACTTTGCACGCAAGCCGATGTTTTCGTGTTACGTGCTACTGCGTGCGTTTTGTTTGCTTACCGCATGTCTAATATATCTATGAGAAGAAGAACAGTAATACCCGAGATGAAGATATCAGTCTTAAATTAAAAAAGCAATCTTAATCATCATTGCCACTTTTTGTTTTGGACTTCGCCGCCGCTATCATTTGTGACACTGGCAACCTGTACGGTTAGCTCGGGGTAGCACAAGTACCTTGCCATTTCTTAAACTATTTTAAGAGAGAGAGGTTTGTGATGACTATGGGGAGCTCAGTTATGGGAACGGAGACCTCCCTGGCTTTGCCGCCTTTCATCATCGCCGGCTGCTCTCGTAATACGCTTTTAGGTTCTATTCTATCATAGATTTTTTAAAATTTTCCCTTGCTTATAAAATATAGAAGATTCAACCCTCCGAATACAGTCACTCATGTGCGAAGAACACACTTTGAATAAGGTAGATTCACGGTACTTGGGAGACAAATTCACTTCATTCGTCATGTACGATTCCGATATTAATCACATAACAGTCTACCTATCACCGTGAACTAACGATCCGACAAAATATATAACAAGATAAAGTGATCATATATCTAAGCACAGAGCAAGCAGTGTTTAGACAACGATTTGATAACAAACACCATGTGAAAACTATAATTTCTAAATGCTACTCGTTGGTATCTAGACTGTTCACAATGTCACCGCTTTTTATGTATATTAGTGCCCTAAAGATATTTTCTTAAGAGCTTTAATAATAAACTAACGGTATCCGTGCTCAAACTGTTTTTGTAAATGCATGGTGCTGCATTAATGATGAAAGATCGTTTCGACAATTTGCATAGATAGCCATAACTATCAATGCCATTATGTGATCTCACCCAGCAGAGTGAGATCACATGAGCGCAACAGACACGCGCGTCACCAGTCAAACCCGCGACAATTTGACTAACACTTAAACTATTATTATTATCGTGTTATATAACTCTTGCTCTCTCGGTATTGTTTTTATGATTTAAAGCACATCGGGTTTGCTTGATGCTTGATGATCAAATGAACAATTCACGTTTGGTTCTTTTCTGCGTATCTTCCGTTTCAAAATAAATGAACTCGTTGTTATTTCAAGTACGAAATAGTTGTCGCGGTGATTATTAGGGTAGAAGTGTTTCGCTTGATGCATCTACACTTTTACGTGTTATCGAACGCCTAAGTGAGTGAGAACGAGAGTTGCCGTTGTTGTGAATGTAGCGAACAGAGCCAACATCCGGGAAAAGGCCAAACATACGTTAAATAGTAGCGACTGTAGTAGTTATTTTATCAAGAATTACTCCAAGAAATCAACAGACTCGCGACTATGTTTTATAAGACTCTACCCTTATTTTCCTGCATACATATATATATATATATATATATATATATATATATATAATTTGGATACCCTGTCAGTTTGATGCGATGACCAATGTCCATCCATTTGCGTAGTAAGTGAGCAGTGATTAATATGACGGTAATGATAAATGCACCGTTACAAAAATTTTACCAAAAATCTAGGAACTTGGGAATACGTATAACACTTTTTTTGTAGGACGTTGCAGACTTTCTTCATAAAAAACGGTCTTCATAAAAATTTATTAGTTTACTTCTCACCATATATATATATACATATATATATTTAATATTTTGATCCATTAACGATGAATGATTAATAAACACAGACAGGCTAACAAGCACTGGAGCAAGCATCTACGCAAATGTTACAATTTTTTTCTTTAAACATTTTCATCATTTATGATGCTAACACTATTATTTCGTTGTTCAGTCTCATCCATTTCTGATGTTCATACGAAAGTCACTGTGTATATTGTAGTGTATGAGAAGCTGACTACCTATGTCTATATAGATATAACAATGCTCCATAGTAAATGCTACTTCTAATGAAATGATTAAGGACAGCAGTTAAGTTCGGTATGATCCTTTTTTTCTTTTTATAGATTCTTGTGCATGTCATACGATAGGACACCGTTACAATGGCGGTGCAGGCCCCATTGCGACTTTCGGAACGGCTGATGAACAGCAAAATGATCATACTGAGGAAGCGTAAAGAGGTTTAGTCAGAGCAGTAACAGTTATAGCACTGGGAATATGAGAAAGAGCGAGAGAGACAAGGCATATCGAGAAGAAAAAAGAGATATCGGGATAATTCATGTCCGATGTTAAAGGTCGCCCGGATCTGGCGGACCCGTGTCGCTGGCATGATCCAATGAACGCTAACATACCATTCCATTGACAACAGTCAAGTAGACGGTTACATGAGACCCAGCTGCGCTCAGATCAATTGTATACTAGCGCCACTTGTGGCTGAACCTTGATAAACCGCAAAGCGACGCAGGATGCGTTATAGTCGCATATGGACGCACCGCAATGGTGTTATAACAAATATCTGCACTTCTTTACTTTCGACGTTGCACAATAGAACGTCGGCGATTCTTCGCACAGAACATAGTGTAGTAACGGTAATAATAGGTGAATATCGTCAGTCGAATAAACACGCCCTAAGAGCGAGCTTCAAGCTAATGTTATCCATAGGCAACACGTGCTAATGCTGCAGTGATATGTAAGCGCAACACAAACGTTTTCTATAAATATTTGTCGTCCAACAATAGCCGTTCTGGCTCGTAATCGCTGAACCTTCTATTTAGCTCAGCAGCAGCAGCGGCTGGAACAGTGGCACCACTAACGTCATCAGACCCAGAAATTATCCAGAAGACGACACTAGAAACCGTAAGGAAGTGCCATCCCCAACAAAAGTTTCACTGTATCATACAGGAAGCACGTACTACCAAAACTGGCCAAAATATATAAAATAGAACTTAGTCAGCAGTCTATGTAGGAATGCTGAATGATTCCAATTAGTTAAATGCTTACCAAATGTAACGATGCCTTCAATACAACCGTAATTAATAAATAGTTTCAGCTCACGCGCTTTTTTCACAGTAGTACTACCTGATTCCGTCCAGTCAACTGTAATTATAGTTATGCTTGGTGCACCTGCCGCATTGTTCCGGCTACTGCTTTTTCGAAGACTATCGATTCGCCGAAGCACAAATTTCGCTTCATCCTGTACGCACAACTCTGAAGCGGTGAATGGTTGTGCCTTTGTTGTTGTTCTTTTCGTGACTCCTCCATTAATGCCATTCAACCATAACAAAAAACATTTGCCTTTTAATATCCAATCGGCATTCCGATAAGTGAACTCTACGCCGTCAAACGAATATTTTCCCAATCATCCTATGTAAGCGCTATGGTCCTTTCCTAGCTAATTTTTACTAAATCAAAATATTGCTTCCTTGTTTGTTTTTACTGTTTCTAGCTTCAAACAGCTAGAAACAGTGACAGTGGCTTTTGACAGCAGACGACTACGGCCTATTCTACGAATAGAACTGCTCGAGCTATATCATATTATGATTTTTAGCAATTAATAAGTTAAATTTTCCATTGAGTGACATGCGGCACACGGCCGATTACGGTGATGATTAGGGTAACGGCGCAAGGATCGTTGCAGGAGCTGTTAGTGTCGTAAATGTTCCTGTGTTATATACACTCACAGTGTGAAGACTCAGAGAATGTTGGCTAACTTGCTGCATCATTGGTACACAATCGCTTCTTACTGCGCGACTCATCGTTTGGACATCGCATCTGATTATTTGTTGGTACTTGCTCTACTCTTCCGCCCGCGACCAGAAGTGGCGGGCGTAGACCCAACAGCAGATGGGTCGGCAATCTTGATATGTATTTCATTCAAATCACATTTTGTTTCTATGTGTTACGTCATCACCTTTCCGCAACAGGTGCAAATTTAATTTCAGATGGTTTAAGTGCAAAAGCTGAATTTAAAAAAAGCTATGACTTCTACTTTTTGATGTATGTTTATATTACATATATAAAAACGCATACATTCAAACTATTTGGCAACAAGACGATCAATTAACGACACACAATTTTGGTCTCAGATTAGTTCCACGACGTGAATTTACAGACTAAACTGGGTAACTTTTTCTCGCGTTTATAAACTAACAACAACTGTTCTTTACACAGTATTTACAGATGTTCTTGAAAACACCTCGAATAAATATACCAACGAAACACAAAATTACATGTTTATTTAAGCCAATTGATATGCCATAATTCAAACGGTGTAAGCTTACTTTGTTTCGTACTGGGAACCAACTATCTGAATCTCATATTCAATATGAGTATCGGTGCATATTATCTACTACTAAAAGTTTAGGCCTACGGGCTTGTCCGATCCGAATCAAACTTTCGGAAGCAAAAATCAGGCCTTTCCTTTCCTGGGCCCCTGGAGAAGATAGAAATAATCGGGCAAATACTTCTGTCCCCAGAGAACAAAGCTTGCTTTTGCTTTAGAGCGTAATGTCAACTTGGTTGCTCGTACATCGACGACAGCGTTGTGTTTTTATTTCGTGCATTTGAAAAAAACGTTACATCGTCATATACAAACATTAACGTGGCTAGTAGCATAGTTCGCTCCGATACATTATCAAATGTGCAGATGTACGTCTCTGTAAACATCGTGTTGCATGAACAAGTGAAACACAAAAAAAAATATAATATATATAATAATAATAATAAAAAGGGATAAAGCCCGAGAATTGTGATCTAGCTATATATAAATAAAAATAAAAGTTATTACGAAATAATATCACCATAAGTCACTATTATCTATAAGAAATCATGACACCCACTAGTTATAAGCAAAGACAAACACTTTAAACATGGTGACAAACAAAAAAAATACCTAATTATAAAACAAGTACAGCTGTATATAGGCAGCTCCGATAGAAACGTACACTTTTTAAAGCCTCTAAGATATTCTGATTCGGGTCAACATAATGTCATTCAAACTTGTGACTTAAACAGTATTGCTTGGACTTGAAGCATGTGCTAATTTTTAGTGCATGCACTAGGCGCATGATAGCATGTAGGGAACAATAAAATATAATCGCGTGCAGTTACTGCTGTTTTCCTTAACAAGAGCTACCAATATCTACACTCCAGCGCCCAATGTATAATGCTATCAATGATCTTACAGAACATCTAATGTCTTCCTTATTTTCCTATCAAAGGGTCAACAAGAAAATTTTACGTATAAAAGTTGTGCCTTCATAGACATAATGCTTGTGCTTAAGGGCCGAGTCTCTGTTTTGAAGTGCAGCAATTAAATAAGCAAAATTAAAAAGAAAACTAACACATGGCTGCAAAACACTTGTCCCCTTTGAGGGCTGATACTTACTGCCAGCACTGTAACAGGCTCATTGTCATCGAAACAATTAAAAAAAAAAAAACGATTGAGCTCAGACAGACTACACGAGCAAGTAAAGGCCTCTGCTGATTGATTGTCAAATAAACAGCCTGTTAGCGTAAGGAAATTTGGTTTCATATTAAATATTGCAGTGACATTTTGTAATGAGTGACAGCAACTACTGCCACATTTAGCTTTAGCACGAGGCCCTGCACTTCCACTACGCGCAGGTCGTGTCGCGTCGTTTCTTGGTCAAACAGTAGATTTAGTACGCTAAAGAAAAGATAATCATATCATTAAACGATGTAACATACTTGGTTTAGAACTGATAATTGGTTCCCCGTATTAATTAGTATCTAACTAATTCGCCAAAAAAAAACCAAATAAAACGTATAGCCCTCGGAGCATAGCTGCTATAATTTCAAGAGAAGCTATTCTCTTGGTTCGTCACTACAAAAATAACACTATGATTTAATATTATCATTGTGAATAACGATGACGTCAGTGGCACTTTCATTGTGATTCAAATAGCAACAGTCTTTTTTCGTGTTTGTTAACGTTTGTCGACCCTTATCCGTGCCGAAATAGCTTTCGAGGCAGCAAGGGCAACAGTATTTTTTCGTGTTTGTTAACGTTTGTCGACTTTTACCCGTGCCGCAACATGAACGATGTTATAGGCAGATTATTATTCGGCAGGAGATTTAGTGCTACGCCCAAAGCTCATCTGCGTAGTGTGCGAGCTTACCGACTACACTTTAGAGTAATAAACAAGCGGCATCAATTAATGTTCGAGAAGTTCGAGAGCGACGAAGTTCAATAATAGACCGTTACAACGCGTTACAATTATCTAGAATGTCGTAGGGTAATGATAAACCACGCTACCATCGCAGAAGTGCAACTGTTTGTTTTTGTGATCATCCTCAAGGTCGAATTCCTAGATGAAAGAAAATGGCTGGCGGTTCAGATGATCTTCTAACAAAATCAACGGAGCTTTAACAATTAATGGCAATGTATCGTCAGGACCCGAGCCACTTTTGACTACAGCCATTACCGAGGAAGGCTGGTGCCTATATAGCTCAGTGTGATTAACTTTAAAAATTTCTGAACACTGCACCTCGGCATAGATTCCAAAAATAGTCCATCCTGGTGCTAAGTATGAATAATTTTCCTCTAAATACCGAAATGATTGCTTCTATAGAAGACCTTGTCACATCTTAAGGCTCGGACGGCAGAAGAACTTTAAAGAAGAGCAAATCGGGCGCTGAAAGAACTTTCGAGATATATGAAAGAGCACGGCCCTCGTGAAGTTATACTACCTATTGTAACAAAAAACAGAATACCAGCCCAGTGCCCACACTGAATGGTGAAAAGATATCGGGTAAATACCTGAGCATACAACTCAATCATACAATGAGAGTGGTACGGCACATCAACCAAGCCGTCACAGAGGCGAATTGCCAGCATACTGCCAAATATCGACGGTCTTCGAGAAAGGAAAAGTGCTCTTCACGCCAGTAACGGAATTAATCTCTGGGACTTCTGCCTAAGCAACATATGAGCTGGAGTTGCAAAGATGATCCCTGACATAAAAGCTTCTATTGCACGCTTCGGTGAAGCACTTACTACCTCACACAAAATTGCCTTCACAGAACTGGTAAGGCCCCGTCAGACGTCTGTGCACTGCAAGCCTGTAGGGTGCGTCGCATCACACGCTGGCGGCTTGTACAACACACACTAGAAAAAGACACATTACGTCAGAACTGTTATTGTTTCTCGCAAAAGACAAAGATCACTATTTCGTTATCCGGTCGCAATCGTATTAAGGAAATTTTTGCAAAAGTCGTTCCGATGAAGGACTGCTTGTGAAGTTACCGTCAAAGGATATGGCAGACGACACGTTGCAGTCAAGTTCGGAGGACTGATGGAGGGGCCGCCCCCTGCAGGGAGCTAGTCTCAGGAGGTAAGGAACCTGATTAGAGTGAGCCCGGCCTGATGAATCGGTGCCACCGGCTACAACCTCTTACGAGCCTGTAGTACTATTAAATGAACATCTGGGTTAATTCGGAGTGAACCTTGAAATTGGAAATAAGCCTAGCCGGCTGAGCCACTTACTCGGCGCAACAAAAACAGATATTATGCTCTGGTGGTAGTGCTTGTATGTACACTGTATTGCTCGAACCTTCGAACAGAAAAAAGTCTTAAGTGACTTCCAATAAGTAACTATGCTTACTGCTTGTGCTTTTACAATTTTAATAGAAGGCGCATATGCATAAATCCCTGCCAGTAGCTGCCAGTGGATGTGCGAAACATTAGCTCTTATACGAAGGCTCACTAACAATTTACGACGTCACCAAATATTTTATTATTACTATACTAATAATCAGAACTGTAACAGATTTTCAACACTGCGAAGCCATGATGGCTGTTAGCACTCATACACGGTTAGGTATAATTATTATAACTTTATCCTTTAATATATTCTTTGATTTATCATCTTACAGGTCGCAACAATGCATTAGACCATTATGGCCGCAATCACAATAACATTACACAGGCTGGTGTTATTAAGGGACACACGGCGTCCCTTTTCCGATCACACCTACCTATTCGTCTTATACATTATAAGAGACGACATGCGACACGTTTTCTATTTATGGACAGATTTGAAAGCGATCGAAAAATTGCAAACTGCGTTCTAGCAGCAAAAAAACAAAACGCAGATATGGCGTTATTTCAGATATGATCGAAAGATAATGGCGACATTGTGCATTGGTACCAAGGTTATCACAATAATCTATCAGTTGCTTGTTCTACAGTTAGTTGTTTTTTGCAAAGGTTTGTAACGCAGTCACTAGATGTCGCGTCCCTTGAAAAACGAATTTTTGCGAAACATGCATTGCGTTCTGCTTCAGTACAAAAGGTGAACTAGATATGATCGTAACGTCGCACGCTAGGTAAATCATACATTATAAATTTCTGTAGCACATTGCACTATGAGCTGCGTATGACAGACTAACAGTTGTCAGAGTAAGAGAGTATTTCACACGATTTATAGTTTTAGTAACGGAGGAGGAGCGTTTAGGCCTCTACTAATATTTGCAAACCGGTTTCAAGATGAACTGAAATCAGATTGAGAGAGAGATGAGACTGAAGTCGGATGACATCTTACATCTCTTATTGATCAAAAAATGTAGTCTCGTCGAAATAGTTCTAAAAATGAAAGGGTAGCTGTGCCGTGAGTGTCATTTGTTTTTCAATTCATTCAGGAACAATATCATATTCGTTAGTTCGACGAACAGCTATGCACCATGAGTTCTGGCTTACTGAAGCCGATCACAGATTAGTCACCGAACGGCTAAAGGGTACTCCGAAAAAAACACCTACCGTTCAAACAAACTCGCAAAAATTATTCTCTGCACTTTCTGTTGTCGAAAGATGTATATCTTTCGAGTGTTCCTTATACCTCAATGCGTCAATTTGTAAAGGTGCGCCATCACTCGTTTCTGCCATTGGAATGGCTATCAATCATAGCTAATTTAGACGCGGCGGTCTTAGTGTGAAAAATGCAGCTCAAGGCATAAACCTTTGGGATCAATGATCTTTTAGTTGTCTTCCAAATCAATCTTTTATCCCTACCTTCAAGCGTATGGTAGCTTTCAATCTTTCGCTGTAATAATAATAATAATATTAACAATGACGTTGATTACGAAGGAGCAATCGACATTAAACGAGGGAGTATGTACGTCGCCTATTGATATCTAATTCCCTCTCGCTCGATCTTCTTAATCTCAGGGGAGAGTTTTTTTTATTTGATCTTATTTAATCAAACACGAATGAAGCAGATCAGAACGACAGTGCCAGAATTATGAGAGTACAACTTAAGTGGATGGATCAAGAACGGTTGTCGCTTTATCGGTCATGTCAAGTGATTTCCCATTAAGCTCTGCTCCTTTTTATTAGAACTGTCCATCATTATTACTATTATCACGCGTACAAAACGAACATCTCGAGGGGAGCTTTGTAGTTTGTGGTTGTTGTACTCCTCTGTGTGCTACGGATATTACATGTAATAATACTTTTACACAGCAGATCTGTTAAGAGGGACTAGCAGACGCGGTTACAACTCAATAGAGTAGAAAGGCAGATCATCACAACTAGCAAGCTGTTCTTAAAAGCTCAGAAGCCTTTCACCTCCTTATTTTGGCCCCACGTTATAGCATTTGCCACACACAGAGATCGTCTTTTGACGTTGCGGTGGTATTCAGCATTGCTACTGGTGTAACAGCAGTAGTTACATACTCGTCGTGCTGCAATGGTAACGTGTTTGCCAATTGCACTTGAGTACACGTGGTGGTCTAGCTTCGAAACCGGGCGCAGGCGCACTTCGTTTTGCGCCGAAAGCCAGCGGCATGAAGCAGTGCACAGCGGCTTGAGCACAGAACGTAAAGCTCTTCGAAACATGCTACTACTACTATAGTTGCAGCACCGGCACTAACAATAACAATGCCGTCTGAGGGAATGATGTTTAGACGCAGTACCGGTTACCAATCCTGGAGCAGTAAGGTTTCGTAGTAACACTAAATGATAACTACAAGCAGCGCCTAGTGTAAACAGTATCAGGCAAGAGCCGCTGTGGAAGCTCGTACAGTGACCACTTTGGTTAGACTTCCATTCCAGGATCAATTCAAACATTGATGTAATTTTCCTATCAGCTACTCAC